CAGTGATTCCCTTGGTCTCAATGCTACCGTCATATACACTATGAGTTGGATTGATTAATAATCTAAAGTGAAATCGCTTTGAAACAACGATTAAATTGGACATGTTTGACGTGGAATATTGGGGCAGTGTTAGAGATCAACCATAAACAGAAACACGTCTTTCTTGTTGTGTACAGAAAAGGGCGGATGCTTCTACATGCAGCTGCAGGTCCTGAAGAGTCAGTGCTTAGGTGAGTGTCCTGTGGGGCCTGGTCACATGATATGGCTTACGTCATGCCGCCATATATCTTCCAAAAAAATCATCTTGCTGCAATACAAGGTATAGTTTTAGGACTTAGTTTTGCCTTAATATTGACACTGCTGAGGGAATGATAAACTGTAAAAGATATTCAGTTATATACTGAGGCTTCCAGTAGTTTTGAATCAGTAGTTGTAAATTTAAGAATCCATTGAAACACATTAAAGTGTAAAGGGTTGTACAGGGTTGTTGTCAGTATTTTTGTATCAGCCCTCCTTGAGCTGTGTTTTCAGCTACTGTGTGAGGCCTTTCCCTTACTTTCATTACTTGATGCCATCTGTTTTTCATGTTGACAGGCAGCAGGCAGGTGCACAGAAATTCAGCTCTAAATTTATCAGGGTCAGGAACGCAAGGAATAGCCCACTGCTGTGTTTAGGGGTTATGTTAGATGGGAAAGCTCCACAGTGTCCCTCTGGATCTCAAAATTGAGACTAGACATAATTTTTGTGTTCTGATTGTCAGTTTAATCTGATTTAATCTGGACATTAGTAGGTAGACTGGTGATTGGCATTGTGGGTCTATCAGAACACCGTTCATGGTTCTATTATAAATTTTACAAGACTACTCATTTTTATCCACATTGTTACATTTATTGTTTAAAAGCATTTCATTGCTCACTCTCACATGTTTGAACCCTGAATGTTCTCATTATTTCAGTGTTACAAGGACAAACATTGTTCAGGGAATGTTATGCAACAGCCATTAGAGAACCACGGGTGAAGGTGACAAGAACATTTTGTGCTACCTCAGATTATGTCTCAGCCATTCTGCAAATGTTCAGAAGCAAATGTTTATTTTGTTTATATGGTTATTAATGCAAATGTACATTTTATAACTGATTTCATTTCATATGTTAATGATCTCTGAAGTGCTGATGGTCACATGCTAGGATTACATTTCTTCATCAGTCTACTGATATTGTGTCACAGATTTTAAAAGTAGAAATTATAATATTTTTCATAACATTTTTCATGTTTGTACCTAAAGTGTACGAGGTTTACTGCAAAATGAAGTTACATTATAGCAGTCTAGATAGAAGTTCTGCCCTAAGGATGATGTCAGCTAACCTGAGATTCCAAACCAGTGTAACTGGGACTAGACAGGTAGGTCCCTCTCTCATCCAGGGATAATTATGTTTGTAATACAATATACAATTATAGTGGTAAAAAATACTGACTTTCACCATGAAATATCCCCCTGTGTTATTCACATATGGCATGTCTTCCTGCCAAGGGAGAATTCACTCAGGAACTGGGCATGTAGCTAGATCCTATCCCATTTGATTTCAGACTCTGCATCCTTTATGAACATGTATCGCAGAGTATGAACAGTGTCATGAACTTTCCAGGTGTTTAAGAAGAGCGTTATGATTAAATCGAAAAGAAAACAAGGAAACGTGTTCCTGTCCAAAATATCCTTTAGTAGTTTATTGCTTCTTACGTACAGGTTCTTACTCTACAAATCTTTGTGATGTTTCTGGTGACTTTCTAGGGAGCAGGTATTTATTTTCACATACACAATATACACAAAAGTTTTGGAACACACCACTTAATCATTGAATTCTGATATTTCATTCTGACCTATTGCCACAGGTGTGTAAAATCAAGCACCTGGCCACGCAGTTAGGGTTACATGCATTTGTGAAACAATGGGTCATTCTGAAGAGCTCAGTGACTTTAAGCATGGTTGGGTCATACAATGCCACCGTTGCAATAAATGAAGTTCATGAAATTTCATCCCTGCTAGATATTCCACGGTCAACTGTAAGTGGCATTATTGCAAAGTGGAAGCATTTAGGAACAACAGAAACTCAGCCACAAATTGGCAGATCACGTAAAGTAACAGAGCGGGGTCTCTGAGTGCTGAGGCGCATAGTGTATAAAAGTCGCCAATGCTCTGTTGACTCAATAACTGCAGTTCCAAACTTCCTCTGGCATTAACCCCAGCAAAGAAACTGGGAGCTTCATGAAATGGGCTTTCATGGCCGAGCAGCTGCATGCAAGCCTCATATAACCAAGCGCAATGCCAAGTGTTGAATGCAGTGGTATAAAGCACGCTGCCACTGGACTCTGGAGCAGGGGAAATGTATTCTGTGGAGTGACAAATCACGCTTCTCTGTCTGGCAATCTGATGGACATGCCTGGGTTGGTAGATGCCAGGAGGTCGTTACCTGTCTGACTGCATTGTGTCAGCTGTAAAGTTTGGTGGAGGAGGGATAATGTTATGGGGTTATTTTTCAGGAGTTGAGCTGGGCCCCTTAGTTTCAGTGAAGGGAATTCTTAATGCTTCAGCATACCAAGACATTTCAGACAATCCTATGCTTCCAACTTCGTGGGAACAGTTTGGGGAAGAGCCTTTTCTGTCCCAGCATGACTGTACCCCAGTGCAATAAGCAAAGTCTATAAAGACATGATGGAGTTTCCCGTGATCCTTTTATTTGCGTGTATGTTTAGGTGACATCTAGCAGTGATGCTGGCTGTAGTTAACTTGGGTATCTTGGGAAGATCTGACTTCTCTCTGTTTGGCTGCTGAATTGAGATGACTTACTGACCCACTTAAAAATAGAATCGCCCTCACTGGTATTTAGATGTGTACCCTTGCTTGTTGCTAGTTTTAAAGATGGCCAGTAATTAAACAGGAATTCAAACTAATAATGGTTAATTTTGTTCATCACTAGAAAGTGGTCTTGACCTCAAAAGAATATTTCATGTATATGCAACTCTGTATAAAAAATGCCCTTTTGTTTTTCCAATAACATGTTTTGTTTTTATATGTGCTGCAATTTTATATGGAGTGAAACTTATGCACTAAGCAAACAATAATATGTTTTCTAATCATTGTGTGAACACCCACTGCATTTGTTATTGAATGATATCCTTTGGTGTGACATACTGTGTTCCCCTTAGCACTGCATTACTTAACAGGGCACACATAAACAAAACTGTAGCCTGTTCTGGATTTAAATGTTTTGTGCATACAATTTGAAAGCTATTTAATTTTTTATATAATCAACTATAGACAGGAAAGCAACCACCACGTATAAAAAGCATACATTATAAATGTATAAGGTTTTCAGAAGAAAAAAACAAATTCACCCAATTACAAAAGCTTGTACAAGTAATTTCAGTTATGTCCTGACAAAATAATTTGCTTTATAGCTAGCCAATGATGTCAATGTAAAGGACACAAATGGAACATGGTGTAGGTTGACAATTCCAGTTACAATGTACAACTAACTGAGAGGACTGTAGCCTTTTCACACTATGCCAAACTGTTGAATATAAGAAGAAGTAATAATGGTTGATAGGCAAACAGGCAGATATTATACTCCAATGTATCAATGTGAGGAAATTGACACCACACACTACACACAACTAATACCATGTGATATTTTTGGCTGTGACTTATTCTTTGGAGGGGCCAGCAGGCCTATGTATGAATTCTTCAGTGCTTGCAGAGGGATAACTAAAGTAGGTTTCCTCCCATGCACCGGGAGCTGCTGTATTTAGAAAGACAAGATCTAGGGGGTGTTCCACAAAAAAGGATTTCTCAGTTAGCAGGGTTAACTTAAGCTAGAAGCAATGATCGTCCAATAAGAAGAAGCATTCCTATTGGACAATCATGCCTTCTATCTTAAATTAACCCAGCTAACTGAGAAATCCTTCTTTGTGTAATGACCTTCTGGTAAATCTCAACCATCACTTACTGATATTGGCCATGCTGAAGGACTCTATGGGCCAGAACACTGACAAAATCCAGGTTATCTTTGTACAAGTAAAAAAGGCATATTAACAACTGTTGTAAATAAATAATTTGTTCAAACTGAGCTTTATGAAATCTAAGGCTACAATGGATTACACTATTGGCAATTTTCGTTAATCCACATTTAAATGACAATATAATTGCTTTTCAATTACAATAACTCAATTACATACAACGAGTTGTGAATTAGGCATAGTAGACTAAGATATGCCTGTCTTACAAACCTTTCATACTGTCCTATCATGGGCATAAATTGTGGCTGAGTTTCTGCTGTTCCTAAACGCTTCCATTTTTAAAGAATGCCACTTCGAGTTAACCGCTACAGTGGAATATCTAGCAGGGAAGAAATTTCCATAACCCTAACACCCCCAATAATCAAAACCGGCCAATAGAACCCCCCCCCCCCCCTAATCATGTCTTTCCCTAAATGGGTGGATACCTAAAACCCTCCAGTATCCAAACCAAATTTACACCCTTGTGTCCTATCATTACAATACTTTTTGAATAGTGCAGTTTGATACATGTATAGTCTTCTGAAGACCTACATTAAAATTTGTTTATACAGGAGACTTCCCTAAAAATGATCACAGGAGGAAATGGATTTGCGTACAATGCATATAATTTTTAAAATGATAACTACGAAGTCATCTTAGGATACTGGAAATAGTTTTAGGAATATTAATAATGATAAACTGGTAAATTAGTTCTTACATGTTTGTATTTACAGTGACACATCTGTTTGCAGGGGAAAAAAATCATAATGGAGACATTCAGTTAAAACACAACTGGAAATAAGCAGAATGTAGGTGGGCTACTAATGAACACTGCAATAACAACTAATTTGCATCCGATCACATACTACCTTATTATCCCCGCATGTCCCTACATCCCAAACATTGCTGCTCTTTGGCTGTTGGCGACAAGCACTTGATTGTGTCTATGATGCCAGTCCCTGCACCGATCTGCAGCAACACGCTTGTGTTGTCCGTACACGGCCAGCATGCCATTCGGGCTCCGAAAGCGTGGACTCAGGGTGTCTGCGGGGCCAGGAGGAATGGGACGGGGCGTTGGGGCAAAGGCACCGGCGGCGATCATCGTTTTAAGCCTTCATCGGGGATACGGCGACTTCTGTCTGGTGATTTAGGATATTTCTTAAAACTTTTTCCTCTTTTTAACACGGTATAACAGGAAACATGACTTCAGTTTGGAAGAGACTTCAGCGCGTTGGAAAAAGAGCTTCGAGGTTTCAGTTTGTGGTGTCTTATGAAGAACTGATTATCGAGTGCACGCAGAAGTGGTAAGCTGTCTGACAGACCCGCACTTTTCTTTACTGGGCTATATGGTCTTATTTTCATGAACATTTTTTATGAATGTTTTCTGGCGCTGAGGGCGTTCACCTCGCAATATAGTCGTAGTATATGCCGCACCACTTTCAGATCGGCAGTTTATGTCTATAACCACATAAATGGCTTATTATATGGCTATTAAAGCCATATATGGGAAAGAATTGGCATTTAATTATCAAGGGGTACCTAGCTCGGCAGTGTGCTGCGCTCAGTTCTTGTCTACGATAAGATATTTGACAGCATTGAACATGAATTAAATGCACTGCATTTCCGTGTCGCAGCTCGGTCATTACAAGGTGGAGCAGTGTTCGTGGATAGTGCGACTGCCAACCTTCAGCTTTAAATCGTGGAAAACTATATCGATTATGATGACATTAATTACCATTAACAAATCAGTAGTATACATCGTAACAATAATGGGTTGGATTACGGTTAATAACAAGAACGATAAAAGTGTTCTTGTCATTCACAAGTAACAGTATTCTTCGTGAGAAACTATGTGAGAGGTTCCTATGGTTCTGAGTAGCCTATTTGATTATTTTAATATTGTGTTGCCTAATATCCCAAGGTCAGATAACCAGCACATGGCACAAGCAGCTACACACTTTGACATCTTGTGGAAGATTTGACCTGTCATACAACAGCTTTTAACTTGGCCTTCTGTCATGTATTTATCTTTAATCAAGTGACAGTTTCTTACAGGGTTACTGTTCAGTACTTAAGCTAAATAGAGACTTGTTTTTAACAGAACTGAAAAATGTTGCTAATCTAATTATTAAATGATTCTGAGGCAATTGATAACTATATTAAAATATATCTTTTATACAAGGAAGGTGACACTTTAGAATTCTACACCCTGGTTTTGCGTACTTTTGTCATTGTCCACTTTGTCCATCTTTCCTATTATTCAGAATGGGAATTACACCAAAATATTTTAATTGTATTTAGCATGTACTAAAATTAGACTTTTATTTTCTTTACCGGCTTGTGTATTATGGCTATTAGGTTCTCAATTGCGTAAAATTCATTGCAAGGATTTTTCCATAATCTATGGTATTGTTTACCTTTTCCCTGCTGAATCATGGAATCCTATGATACGATATAAAGTATTTGCCCATATTGTTTGACAGGAAGTTGACAAAGAATTTCAAGGTTTAAGAATCAGAAGTACATTAACTCCAAGATGCTAAGTATATACATTTAATTCTCCTTATTTCTAATGTAAATCAGAATGGTAGTGTATTTTGCTAATGTGGTAGACCGAAGTCTTTGAAGTAACTTTGTGCAAGTTATCCATGTAAAATAGAAGGAATAAAGATTATATTGTAACTTGTTCTTTCCATCAAGGACATTAAATGGAAAATGACAAAATTATATTAGTGCAATTGTTAAGGGGTATATTCTGTAATTATTTTGTTACAAAAGAGGACAAAGGCAAAGAACTGAAAGGCAGGAATAAGAGTGTGTCATTAATGACTGATAACTACACAGTTGTACCAGACTAATAATGCTGAAAAGGGATATAATGTATTACTTCATGCTAGGTTTTATCTTGAAGAGACCTACATGTATTTTGCCAAGTCATGCCAAAGCCTGGAATGCAAAGTGATGTCATCAAGCACACACCCCCAGATTTTAAACAGATTTACATTACCAGAGAATACTTCAACCATGCCCAGAACATAGTTGTTTAAAAAATCATTAATCCACCTGTCTGCTGAATTTAGTTACAACAACAATGGATTAATTACCAGCACAGAAAAAACTCAAAATGGAGAAAATGCCCCAAATCATATCCCACTTTCCCATTTCCTGCACAAAGTAGATTTTCAACCTTTCCATCAACTTCCCACTTGCTCACTTACTCATCCACTTGCCTTTCTCTTTCTTTCTTTCTTTCTTTCTTTCTTTCTTTCTTTCTTTCTTTCTTTCTTTCTTTCTTTCTAATATTACTGCATATATTAGCTTTAAGAGTCTAATTATGACCTACACAGGAGTTATTTTCACTTGTAAGTTATTTAAACACTACTCCGGTGCTGCATTATGCTTTGCATACTGAAAATAGCAGCGTGAATGTTTTGGTGGACTGGTTTACATGACCAGCCAAAACAAATGTGTGAAATGTGATTCAGCCAGACCGGTTTCAGGACTGTTTATGCAGCTTAGCAACCTTTTTTAATACTTGTTGATATTTAAACCTTTGGAGGTGCTTTACTTGACTCTCTATAGCAGTTTATATAATGAACAACTTGCTGGGCTAAAGAGAACTTTCAAAAAATCTTCCCTTTCCCCTGTTTAAAGAACTGTCTTTTGTTACAGATTCAAAAAGCAGATGTACTACAGCAGTGGGCAGCAGTGTGGTACTTCGTTGGCCACCCATAAAGTAGTGACAGAATTTGCAACCTGCAGCAGATATCACAGAAAGGCAGGGTTATCAAATTGTGCTTCTTTGCACCTTTTTGAATAGAACCTGCTTTGCTGCCCTAAACTTCCTGCTACGATATTGTAAATTTTAGGAGTATGGTCAATATAATTGTGTTGTGACTGTGTAGTATGTGTGCATGTATTATGTAAGCTTTTTGTCAAAATATAATTTGAAAAGTATTTCCTGTTCTGAAGCAGTAAAAAACACAAAATTATGAGTCACAGGTGCAGACTTCAGTGTGCCAGAAGCAGATGGCAGAGATGGATGTGTTTGTAAGAGAAAAAGAGCTGTCGTACAATAATCAAAATGTTCAAAATGCCCCTGTGTTTCATGTTGGAATGGAGCAGTTTTCGGATTTTATATGGTGCCTGGTGACATATCTGCAATAAGATTTTCACAATTTGCAAAGTCTCAGAGCTTCAGCCAAACTCTCTGAGGATGTTGTTGATCAGAATCAGCATGATGGGCCTGCTGTTTACCAAGGTTTGTGTGCCAGTATTTCCATTGTTCACAACTTCCTGGTGGTTTCTGGTGATTTTCATTCATAAATTACAACTTTGGAATCCCTTTTTCTTACACTGCTGAAGGGATTTTGAAATCATGGGAAATAACATTGCTATTTATGTACATTTTGGGGTAAAACATTAGTATTTTTAATGGAAATTAATCTTACCTGAGCATATTTCTTGTTTAACTTTGTACACAGTTTGGCTTGTCTGAATTTGAGTAAAACCTGAGTGATAGATCTCTTAACATCCAGCTGATAAAACAGGTTTAGACTAAGATTAAAACAGTCTTCACCATGCAACACAACTGAGCTGTGCATGCAGGGGGCGCAGTGTGTGGCCCCGTGCCTCTGTCCTGAAGGTTGCCAATTTGAATTCCTTGGGCAGCAGAATAATCTTGTCATCATTGCACATTTGAGAGAGGCTTATAACTGTAACTACTCCAGGTGCACCACAAAAAGGGGGCAGACCCTGCACTCTGACCCCAAGCTCATGTATGTTAGCAGTAGATTCCACCAGCTAAGTGTAAGTTTGACCACAGCCTATAATGGAGGTCTACTTTAAGAATTACTAAAAAATAATTGGTTACACCATGCAAATACCCTATATTGTCAAAAGTATTGGGACACCCCTCCAAATGATTGAATTCAGGTGTTCCAATCATTTCCATAGCCACAGGTGTGTAAATTCAAGCACCTAGGCATGCAGACTGCTTCTACAAATATTTACGAAAGAATGGGTCGCTCTCAGGAGCTCAGTGAATTCAAACATGGTACCATGATAGGATGCCACCTGTGCAATAAGTCCATTTGTGAAACTTCCTCACTAATAAATATTTCACGGTCAACTGTAAGTGATATTATAACAAAGTGGAAGCAATTGGGAACAACGGCAATTCAGCCACAAAGTGGTAGGCCACATAAAATCCCAGAGCAGGGACAACGCATGCTGAGGCACACAGTGTGCAGAAGTTGCCAACTGTCTGCAGAATCAATAGCTACAGACCTCCAAACTTCATGTGGTCTTCAGATTAGCTCAAGAACAGTGCATAGAGAACTTCATGGAATGAGTTTTCCATCCAAGCCAAACATGACCAAGTGCAATGCAAAGTGTTGAATGCAATGGTGTAAAGCACGCTGCCACTGGACTCTAGAGCAGTGCAGACATGTTCTCTGGAGTGATGAATCATGCCTGGCAATCTGTCTGGCAATCCCATGGATGAGTCTGGGTTTGGCGTTTGCCAGGAGAACAGTACTTGCCTGACTGCATTGTGCCAAGTGTAAAGTTTGGTGGAGGGGGGATTATGGTGTGGGGTTGGGGTTTCAGGGTTTGGGCTTGGCCTCTTAGTTCCAGTGAAAGAAACTCTTAATGCTGCAGCATTCTAAGCCCGTTTGGACAATTTCATGCTCTCAACTTTGTGGGAACAGTTTGGGGATGGCCTCTTTCTGTTACAAAATGACTGCACACCAGTGCACAAAGCAAGGTCCATAAGGACATAGATGAGCGAGTCTGATGTGGAGGAACTTGACTGGCCTGCACAGAGCCCTGACCTCAACCCAATATAACACCTTTGGGATGAATTAGAGTGGAGACTGTGAGCCAGGTCTTCACATCCAACATCAGTGCCTGACCTCACAAATGCTCTCCTGGAAGAATGGTGAAAAATTTCCATAAACACACTCCTAAACCTTGTGGAGCCTTCCCAGAAGAATTGAAGTTGTTATAGCCGCAAAGGGTGGGCCAACTCCATATTAAAAATGGGATGTCATTAATGTTCATGTTTGTGTAAAGGCAGGTATCCTAATACTGTACCTTTGTCAATATAGTGTAGTTTCAATGTCACACTAAGTCATAACGTAAATTTTACACTTTCTTATCATTAAGTGTAACGGCCATCATTAAAAAAAAGTTTAAAACTGGTGACAATGGCACAGATGTAACTAATAATTTAACATTAAGTTAATTTTAGTACCTGCAACAGTTGTTACCTTTTCCGTTGATTTACTGTAGAATACAGCAA